AGGGACGGCTAGCGCAGATAGCCCTCGTGTAGCTTTGCGCGAAATTCAAAAACAATCTTCTAAATCAGTTAAGATTAAGAGAACTTAGATTTTTCTCCGTGAAAATATTTACTGACGAGCCTCCCGATGTTCTGTGGCTTCTACCTGATTATTCAAAAGAGAAATCAGTGAAGCTGACGTAAGAATGGTATTTGACCATTAACCTCATAATGCTCTCACTGCGCCAAATAACCTAATGTGTTTTTGCGATAATGAGACATGTCATAGTAAATTATTTTAAAATACTCTTTTTTTATCGTAGTTCATAAAAACACAGAAATTTTCTTGCCTTTCTCAAGATAGTTTCTTGAAAAACAATATTAGATTTTCGCATGGATGTTTCATTTGGAAGTAACCATTCATGATTTGTAAGTGTATGCTTTACTAAGAATTATCTTTCTGAGAGACAAAGTAAAGCTGCAATGTACAGGTGTGTCATGTGTTTGGTACCCCCCCCCCCTTGTTCAGCATAGAATTTTTCAAAATTTTCATATATGCAGGTGTATTTAGCATAACAATGAACGTTGTTGAAGGAAGTAGTTAAGATCCTTTGGTTCTAGTTACCTATTGTTCAGCATCATTTACCCTAGGTCTCACATATGCCTTCTCGTTGGAAAGATTTCTGTAAAGCTGTACCTTCTGTGGGAAAGTACGCAGTGATCTTTTCCATTAGTGGGTCAGATGACCTTTTGAGAATATAACCTCTCTTATTGTTCAATGGGAGTAATGACCAACGGTCACATGGGTAATGCACGCACTCTGAGAATAACAGTTTTATTCTTTCGAGTACATAAAGCTATGTTTTCTCAGTCTTGAACAAATTCTAAATAGGTTAAGGTGCACTCCTTCTTATGGGTGCTGGGAACTCTCTCCCCTAAGACATGATCTTGTGGGTAGGGTGTTTTACTCGTAATCTTTGGGTCACTGGATCAAAATCTATCATTGAACATGCTCGCCCTTTCAGCATTATAATGCGATGGCCAGTCTCACTATTTTTTGGTAAAGAAAAATCCAAGATTGATGGTGGGTAATGTTGACTAGCAGCCTACTCTGTAGTCTAGCACTTTATAATTAGGGACGGCTGGCACAGATAGCTCTCGACTAGATTTGTGCGAAAATTAAACAACAATCAAACTATCCAGGAAAGGTGACGTCCTTTCTAAATACACTCTTTTAATTCATTTTTTTGAAGCTCAGTTTAAGTTAGTTAATTCATATTTCCTTCGTAATTTGTTTCCTATCGAGCCGCCTGTTATTTTGCGGAACCTACCCGATTACTCTTGGGGAAAATCAGTGAACCAAAGAAAATATTGCACAATTAATGTAAAACTTCCAACTAGTTTTACTTTAGAGTCTCACCGTAGTCAGAGATATATGTTTCTTCAGCACTGTTCTCAGTCAAAAAACATTACAATTTACAATTGTGTTCGACTCTTCGTGGAATGACGCTAATTTCTGTTTTGTCTTCTTAAAACATTTTATACAGATAATGTTCTGTAGCATAATTTCAAAGTGATGTTTTTAGTGTAAACAACACTAAATGGTTAGATTGCCAGTTTCTTACACATATCCATAAACATTGATTATAATTATTGCGAGTTACAGTGGGAATTATTTATAAACTTGATTAGAAGTACTCACGAATGCAGATCAATTAATGACAAAAATTGGCTCTGTAATTAACAAAGTTAATTCAGTATACAGATCTAACTGGTAGTATGCAATTTTATAGAACAACAAAATTATTATAGGGCATTAATTCATCGGTTGGTTACCCTCGCTGTATCTGCGGACTTACAACGCTAGAATCCGTGTTTCGATACTCGTGGTGAGCAGAGCATTGTGCATAATTACAAACAATCTTAACCCTCGCTGTAAGCAATATTTGACCAGCTAATTAGTTTTCTTTTATTAAACATATTTTGGGAAAAAATAAAGTGTTTTAAAATACACTTGTTCCTTTTTAAAGAAATAAATATTGCATCTTATAGAAAAATGTTTAACATTACCTAATGAAATTTAAAGATCAACATTATAGCCTATTATTATTCCAACTGATGATTTGAATTTTTTGTTATAATGCATATATAATAGTTTAAAAGAACCACTGTATTTCTGTAACATTTTAATGTGATTTAAATAAGTAATCAATATCAAAATATAATAATAACCACGTAAAAAATAGAGGAAATGACGTAAAATATTGAGAACGAGGTACTTCACTTAACCCTTTTATTCCCAAAATAGATACATTATGTATTCCCAATTTTTAGATTAGGTCACTTTTTTGTTTATTTATCTAGACACATATTGGTCAAGTACCTCAAAGAAATTAAGTAAACTTTTAATCTCAGTTATGTTACAAACTATTATCAATGGCATAATAAATCATGTTGCCCATATAAGTTTGTTTGATATATTGGCAATAATAAGGTTAAGAAAGAACCATGTTTTCTTTTCTATTAATTATTTGTACAGTACGTGAAAACCTGTGATTGGCTAAATTATTTCGAAATTAAATTTGGTATGTCTTACCATAAAAAATGAAATGAAGTAAGATAAACTTTAACATCTGTCACGTTTTTGTGAAAATAAAATACGAGATGACAAAAAATGTTTTACGTATAGTTTTTCTATTACAAGCGAGATGAGTATCGTAATCGTTCCCCTAATCTCCATTGATTAAATAAAGCAAACTCAAACGGTGGTAATTTTGATACCTCTGCGATTTTAATCCTAAAAATGTTCACGTATAATTGTTTGAACTTTCGTTCAAAACTTCTCACAAAATTAATGTGTCAGAACTTAATTCACACAAGGTTAATGCAAGGAATTTATTGTCGTTTAATACACACATCTCAAAATATACAATCAACTTGATTTGATTCTCTTTAAGGCACCCAGGCTTTCTTTAACTATCAAAAGTAGGATCGTATGTTTTTTACAAGTGCCTTGTATACAGCCTTTTTTAATACATAAATTGCAAAATCTTTTAATTTTTCCAGACCATTTACAAGAATCTATTGGCTTAAGTGAACTATCAATATTTCACACAAAAAACAGAATAAATCACAAAAAACTACAAACAATAATTATTGAATCATGCAAATTAAATTGAATTTAATTAAATTACGCTAAAAAATGCTTCAATCTCATCCGGTAGGTGCATATTTAATTCTCTTTGCGAAATATGTGGTAAAGCAAAACTAATTTCTTTTAAAATCCACAATAAAAAGTTATTTAAACTATTAAAGCTATGTTTCAAGTGAAAGTTACGGGCTTTGTTTTAATTTTAGGCCTAATTTATATTATGTAAAAGTTCTTTTATATTAAAATCCACCGAAAATAAAAGAAAATGATTATAAAAGAACTCGTAATTGTTGTTTTTCCAAATAAAAGAAACATTTTGATATTTTTGAGACAACATTGATGCAAGTGTAAAACAGACATGATGAGCCCAATGCAAGATTTCTCTGAAGTTTAAACTTCTATATAGTATACAAAATTGTCACTATACATAAAATACACGAAACAAGAATAATAAAACACACACACACACACATTAACTTCATTTTTAAAAGGTTCACACATTTAACACGTTGTATTACTCGGGTTTTTAAAACCCTTAGCAATAATGTACGTCATCCAGCACGTCAAAATCAATAAAAATGAAAAATAAAATTCAAGAGCGGTTTCTAAGCTCATTTCATCTATCGATAATAAGATAAAATAAAAATTAATAACTAGGAAAATATACATGGCAGAAATGTTGATTACAACGCTGAACGTGATTATACAAATTGAAGAGCGTGCCGCAATGTCAAATCAACTACTATTAAAACAATCTACACTACACATACAAAACGTGAAAATATACGCAGTACTCACAACAGCGGCTTGTTTTGATTGCTCTATTAGATTTCTATTCAGCTAATAAACATAAAAAAAGGCTTCGAGATATTCTATATATATATAATGTTCAAATACAAGTCACAAAATAGCACGCGCAATTTCAATTGTCATTATAGCATAAGGCACTTGGAATGCACTTCAAAACTGTGAAAAATATGTTTTCTCATATAAATAACTTACGTGAAACGACATATAGAACACAGTAATACATATATAAAACTAACAGCACAAAAAAGTAAATGCTGAAAGAATTCTCAATTACAATAATACAAAATTCCGGTCATCTAAAAAGAAAAGCGTAACAAAAGTGAAGAGTTTATCTGCTTTACACTCAAAAAGATTATCAAAAATGTCTTAATATTCGAGACAATACAAGATAATGGCATTTACTAAAAATCATGAATAAAGTACAAGTTAACGTGTATATCAAAGAAACACTAAACTGCTATACAAATGTGTTTTTCCTTATTAGTCATTAGGAGTTTACTCTGACCAGGAAGAACCATTATTGGAAGACATCGATTTTGTTGTCATCGCAAGATCGATAAAAGAATATATTGTACTGAATCACTAATAAAAACTCGAAAGGTTCACTATCTTGCATGTCTAAATGATAATTAAGTTTACAATCTCATCACAGCTAAACGTGGATGTCATCAGGGATATATTGTTCCAAATCGCCAACAAGTGCTACTTTCGTTTTTATTTCAAGCCATAAAAAGTTCAATGTAACGGTTTCCGATGTTCTGGCGGTTCTTTTCCTGAATAGCACGTTCCGCCTCAGCTCTTGAGGAAAAAGTTACTAAAGCTTCACCGTTTGGTCGACCGTCTCCATTCCGTTGAAGCTGAATACATTCGGAAGTTAACTGGAAAAGTGCGAAATCACAAAATAATTTTAGATAAATCTACTTTCAATTGAGACGGTGTTTGTAACAAACGTTTCTCTCTTTCATCAAGTGTTGACTTTTTCAGTAAAAATAGACAAATACTTTAATGAAAAGAGGCACATAAAATTACCAAAGTATAAAACTAATCATTTAATTGAAGATATGAATAACAATAACACTTCAAGTATAGATTGTAACATATACTAAACATTTATCCAAAAGTTGTATTCATTTATTTAACGTTCACGAGCCTGGCATGGCCTAATAGTTAAACCACTTGGTTCGCAATTTGCGGGTCGCGGGTTCGAATCTCAGCCCCGAACATCTTTCAGCGTTGGGGCATTAAAATTTGACGGTCAGTTCCACTATTCAATTAAAGTAACTCAAAAGTTGGCGGTGGGTACTGATGACTAGCTGCCTTCCCTCAAGTCCATCGCTTCTAAATTAGAGACGACTAGCACAGATAGCTTTGCGAGAAATTCAACAAAGAAACATACAATACGGTAATTTAATTTTTTTTAATCAAAACGTATTCTGATGCTCGTGCACACAAACATACGTATATATAAATATAATCAAAAAATAATAATTTTAAATTTGCGTCAATTTAAAACCCTAAAGTTAAATTATGACCGTTTGACAATTGTTCTTCTTTTGTCGTAAAATAACTTCAAAACAGTGCTGGGGATTGTCATTAGAAAAACAAACAAACGAAGTTTCAAGATTTAGTAACATATAATTAATATCTATTATTGAAGTTTATTTTGTTTAAGTGGAATGGTTATTGTTGAAGAGTTAATCCGAATAAAAAAAAAACTCTCTCACAGAGACAATAAACTTATCAGACTGAAGTAACTTCAGAACAAATTTTCGCTGTATTAGGTTGGTTTGTTTTTTGAATTTCGTGCAAAGCTACACGAGGGCTATCTGCGCTAGCCGTCCCTAATTTAGCAGTGTAAGACTAGAGGGAAGGCAGCAAGTCATCACCACCCACCGCCAACTCTTGGGCTACTCTTTTACCAACAAATAGTGGGATTGACCGTCACATTATAACACTCCCACGATTGAAATGGCGAGCATGTTTGGTGTGACGGGGATTCGAACCCGCGACCCCTAGATTGCTAGTCGAGGGTTTAACCACCTGGCCATGCCGGCCACTGTATTAGGTAAAATGTGTTGTAGAGAATCCGAGGGTTGTTCCCAGCCCGTTATTGGAAAAACTTGCTCAGCACTTTAAGGTCATAGATGCGCTATAAGTGCGTCGTTCAGATCCACTAGTTCATTGGTTCCCAAACACTTTAGTCTGAGGCTCCCTTGATGTGAATAAAAAAGTTTGAGCTTCCCCCCAACCTATAAAAATGGCTTAAAATGTGATTTATCAATTTCAAAAAATAATTACTAATGAACTTTAACGAGATCTCTGAAGTAGTTTTTCTATTAAATTGTATGTTTGTAATTTAATGTGGCCTTTTCTTATCAATTTATATGTATTTTGATTAGACCATTAGCAATTTATCATGCTTGGGTTAAATTTGTAGACTGATGAGCAATTAAACACACACTTAATTTTGTGTAAGGTTATCTTATTTTCGTTTTAAAATGTGAAGCAATCCTGTAATTTCAATGTTAAGATTAATAATAAATGATAACTAAAATAATACAGCATCTTTGTTGTTTTCGGCCAATTTTTGGCGCCCCCTCTGGGAAACACTGCACTAGTCGGTCAAAAAAAAAAGTATCCCAATAATTTACGATGGGTACTGTCAGGATCGTAGCTAGAATAAGTATTTTCCTTTTATGAAGTCCCCCAGTGGCACAGCGGTATGTCTGCGGACTTACAAGAGCACAGATAGCCCATTGTGTAGCTTTGTACTTAATTATAAACAAATAAACCCTTTATGAAAAATGAACTCTCATTTTCTTTACAATTTCGATGAGGAAGAAGCCCCATTATACAAATTCTTCAAAATACAATATATCATAAATTCACGTTACGAGAATACAAAATTATGGTTTACATTTAGAGTACATTCCCCGTCTATACTAGCCGGAAACGACAGTGTTTATTTATCTAACATGAGACGATAACGAAAATGTTTTACGTTTCGTGCCAATCGGACACATTCTTCTAAATATTTACGTGCCTGACGTGATTTTCGGGAGCATTTGGCATCCAGGACGCGTTCATTTCGCATGTTGCTTTCATGTCACACCTACAGTTGAGAATGTGGAAGGTAATGAACGGCATATAGCGGGTTCGAACCTTGGAGACCTTTCGATACGCAGTAGAGCACGTTAATTAATAGGCCACAACTGGACCTTCACACGAAATATAAGTAAAAAAATGGGGAATAAATCAGCAACTAAATTAGATAAGATTGGGGTGGTTAATTAAAAAAATTAACAAAATGATGTTTATTAAGCAAACTATTTCTCTACGACTTTTTTTTATTATTTTTTTATCATTTTTGCACAAACCTACTTAAGACTATCCGCCGACCTTAATTTTGAAGTGATGTTGTAAAGGGAAAGCAAATACTCAGCAGCTAGGTGAGTTTTTGAGGATATCCTATAAAGCACAAGGTTTCAGCCTCGTGGTGGTATTTTCCCGATGCCAATCTACATCTAGGCTAACCTATAAAGCTTTTTGTTTGAAGTTAAACACAATGGGCCATCTGTGTTCTGCCCCCAAGGGTATCAAAATCCGAATTCTACGTTCCGAAACTGAATTTTTCACTTGTTCGGCATTTGTGATAGGTGAGGGATAAGGTGTTATCAAGTAATTTGATAACACAAAATAGCGTCTCATTCACTACTGTGCCTGTCGTATCCCAGTCAGCCTGATGAGCTCTGGTATAAGGCGAAAGGCCTTGTCGGATATGGCAGATAGTGTGGCTGACATATTGTTATACATTCAGCTTTATATTCACTCTTTAATCCTCTATTGCACATTGTAACTTACAGATAACAAATAGTTGTTGTTTAATACACATACAAGCGGTTCAGTTTTGTAGTTAAATGTTCTTACTTCCAGGTAACAGTATAAATAAACTACGGATTTACTTTCATTGGTTCTTCAGTTGAACAATGTTACTTCTAGGTAACGTACCCATTTATAACTTACCAAAATATATCAAAAACAGCAAGATATTTTGTACGTTATGCACCTATGTTTTTGTGTTGTTTTGTTTTGAATTTCGCGCAAAGCTACACGAGGGCTATCTGCGCTAGCCGTCCCTAATTTAGCAGTGTAAGACTAGAGGAAAGGCAGCTAGTCATCGCCACCCACCGCCAACTCTTGGGCTTCTCTTTTACCAACGAACAGTGGGATTAACCGTCACATTATAACGCCCCCACGGCTGAAAGGGCGAGCAGGTGTGGTGGGACGGGGATTCGAACCCGCGCCCCTAAGATTGTGAGTCGAGTACCCTAACCACCTGGCCATGCCGGGCCCATGTACCTTTGCAATAAAGAGTTAAGTTCTTTGGCTTTACAAAGTTAAAAATATGAAGTTGAGGGTCATGCCTTGTTAAAATAAATTAAAACTTTAGATTTAAAAAACAATTAAAAACA